TTGCATGAAATAGGTCAACAGACAGAGCTATTCCTTTTATTCAAATTGTAATTAGCGCGAAGCATTTAAGTGTAGTGTATCGTCATTGTTTTATCTTTATTTTTCTGTGCACCTGTTTCTCGTTGCAGTACAACATAGGATACAAAACTCGGCACTGAGGGCCGAAGAGCTTAATAAATACTTGATTTTTTAGCACTGTTATAATTACTATTTATTACTATTTACACTGCGCCACGCAGCCTCAGATGCATTTGAACTACCTATATTTACTGCATTACATGTACCTATAGGTTATTGACCAAGCGAGAAGTCAATATGACTAGACGTTGGCCAAGTTTCATGCCAAGTTTCTTTCAGGACACAGCGAGTAATCCCGAGCGGCCAAGTAGCGCTCTATTGCCCGCTCGGGTAGCCAACTGCAGCTCATGATTTACTTCATCTTGCCCGCTCACGGAGCTAGCCATATAATAAAACTTAATCCAGCATGTATACGATGTAATTTCGGGAAATTTTCTAGTTTCTGACCGCAAAATTTCCTCGCATTCACTTTGCATTACATTGTGATACAAGGGAGAAAAACTAACCGTAAAATGGGCTATCGCACTGTATAGTGTCTGTTTTTAAACAAATGATATTTGCAAGAATTATTTCTGTTAAACAAGTTATATAGTATACGTATTATAGCTTAGTATTAAGATGTAATTTGGAGCTGTTGTAAAATAGACGAGTTTTCGCGTTTTGTGGCGAAACATTCTTCTTTTTTGGAGATTCTAAATGGAAACAGTGACCTTGAGAAATGCGGTTACCGTTGCTCTTTTCATGTCTATTTCTAGCGTAATTTGTTCAAAAAAAAGACAAAGCTTTCGATTTAGCAATACAGGATGTACTTCATTCAAACGGAATACTATAATAGTTGTAATTCTCTCCCACTACTCAAGCATCCCTTCCTACAGTAATGCACTAAAACAACATGATAAGCGTATCGATGAGAGGTCCGCAAGAGATGAATATAAGAACAGTTCATGTACATTGTACGTTGACCTTTTGAAAAAACAAACAAACAAACAAACAAACAAACTAATAATCACCTTACAAACTAGAGAGAGCATAACAACAATAGTCCTAAGTCCAGTTTCAAAAGTATTTTAAGAGTCAGTGTCAGTAAAAATCAGATATGATCATCAAAATCGCGGACACGGCCAAAAAAATCGATTTCGCTCATACTTTCTATATTGATAGACCCTGATACCAAAGCAAACAAAACAAGGTTAGTTTGTTCTAATATTCATTTTTTGGGCAGTAATTAAATAAACACCGTTAAGTCCGAATCCAGCTAAATTTCGATATTCGAACTATCGAAATTCTTTCATGTCCATGGCTTCTCAGCGTAAGTCGAAAATTATCTGTGGATTTTCCTTTGCGAGAACATAGTTAGGGCCTAGACCAAATCATTGACGACATGAAAAGCAGATATTCTCAAATTATAAATATTTATGAATTTTTTCTCGAAGACACCTTGCGGATGTTATTTTAATAGATATGTGGTGCCCTAAAACAATTGCCAAAAACGCTCGTCGGCACGCGACGAAAAACCCAATAACTATATTGCAGATAAACTTTAAGGATAGACGTTCACAGATATACTTGCAATTTGTGGGATATCGTTTAGTTTTGCGGTAACCCTTATTTGAAGTTGGTTTATTTTCGAGATTTGCTGCAGCCGCCATATTGAAGTTACAACAAAGCTGACCATCAGGAAAGAATTGATCGCATGTCGAAAAGTAATTAGGAATTAAACTATGATAAGCTAAATTAAGGTAGGACTTGGTTTCTTTCTTATCTAGCTATACTATCACCTGTGTTGTGCTCTGTAGATTAATTTGCAAGATGTCGTATGTTCTTCTCAGGTCAGGTACTCTAGTGATGTTCTCAGCTTTGAGGCAAAAGTGAGGAAAAAATCATTATGTCGATATAACATAATACAAGAATATAAATAAATTGTCTTCACATGCACTTAGACCCTGTTACAATTCATCGCATTTATCGTTGAGCGATAAAAAAAGGAAAAATGATAAAATAAAAGTGATAGAGGCCTTGACGTCTGGTTGAGGAAAGATATCAGTACTAACACAACTGATTCAGTAAAGAAAAGAAATCTAAGAAGTAAATTGATTAAGGCCCCATCCACACTATGCCGGAGAAATTTAAAAACGCAACAATCACCGGCTATTTTGGATTTGTGTTTTGAGAAAACTCGGACAGGGAACGTTCTCGAAAATCTTCGTTTTCAAATTTTTTCCGTCCACAGGAAAACAAAAAGCCAGCGTTTTCAAATTTCTTCGGTTTGAAGAGCGTTTTCGAGAAGCTCCGTTTTCTTGACGGATTAATGTGAACGTTAGGCCTAAAAGTCTCCGGCATAGTGTGGATGGGGCCTTAATCAATTTACTTCCTAGTTTTCTTTTCTTTACTGAATCAGTTGCGTTAGTACTGATATCGAAATGTCCATTTTACGCACGCTAATAACCTGGAGGTCCTCGACTTATTAGTTTGCGTTTCGGTTGACTGACCGCATTCCTCTTTCAGCACATCAATCTCCGTCGGTGGCCATTGGGTCGAATCTCAATCGTTTGTTTCACTTTCCTCATATATTTATAACTGCTTGATCCATTCTAAGTTTGTAATTTAGACGTATTTTGTTCCTCAAACACGAAGCTCAAAGAGCAAAACAATTCTGTATTCGGAATGGCCATTGAGAAACACGGCCAGATTACAGGCGACCTCCGGCGTGCGTGTGTTTTTATTAAAATCCACAAATACATAGCTAGTTCACCAGTTCGATGCCTCAACAATCTTCTTCGCGTCGTTGTAGAACGTAGGTTTAGTTTACTATTCGTTTAGACAAGTCTCTATTTCAAAACGCGATGCGTTTGATTTACCGTGTAATTTCGTCACCTATAGTTTCGTCTGGGACTCGGAGGATCGTTTGCGCTCGAAATAGTC